CACACTGCAATCTCTTCTCTTCCAGTCTCCTCTTGGGATTTTGGGCATGCGTGCACATGCAGCCAGCATGAGTTTTAAGCTGCCAGGTCCAGGGCTTGAACCATGCTTGACTATGTGGGAGCCCAATGATGTAACCATTACACCATCTGCTGGTCCCCCTATTTTTGAAGTTTGCACAGCAGCCTTGAGAGATCTTTTCAAAATGCAAACCTGATCATGGAAGGCTTGCTTCTTACTGTATCAGCATTTAAATCCTTAACGTAGTCCTCTGGGAGTAGGAAGCCCTTGCTCTGACTTTCCTGGAGTCTCTCTACTCGCTCTCCCTTGCTGGCACCTGTGGGCATTTGACAGTTCCGGCTCCCACTTGTGTGGGACTCTTCCTGGGCCGAGTCAGCCCCCCTTCCTCGGCCCTGCAAACACTTCTTTTTAAGCACACCGATTGCCACCATCACCAGACCGTGGACTTTGAACAGGCCGGGCCATGCGGGCTGCCCTCACTCACCCGTGCTCCCAGCAGCTGTAACCAGTAATGCTCTGGAAATATCTGTTGCATGGAAGAACCTCATGCCATTCAGCGCTGAATTCCAGTTTAGGGAAATCAGGGAGCCATTTTTATTTGATTGGAAATATGGGGGGTGGGGCAGCCTTGTGCATGTAGGCTGAGACACAGCTATGAAATCAATGTTATCTTCAACTAGGGCCCAGATCCCAAGTGGCTAACTGCAAGTCCCACCTGGAGGCTGGAGAACTGTACCAGGCAGCTCACACACCCACCCAACTCTAAGGATGAGAGATGGCGAGGGGATGGCAGTGTGGCCACACTCGGGGGGTGGGGGGGTGTATCTCCAGATGGAAGGGGTATTTTTCTGTTTGCACCCGGATGTATCCCCCCAGTCTAGATCCTGTTTGGCAGACAGTAAATGTTCTTTTTGCTGAATAAATCCGTTTAAGTCAGTAGTTTTCCTGGCCCAGACATAAGACAGAGAGCATTGATTAACTTCAAAATGAATTTTCATGAAATCCCTAGTATCTAAATTATTTAAAAATAGTCACTGTATTCGATTAGGATCTTTAAACATAAGGCTTTGAATTCAGTGCGACCAATGGACAGTACAGCCAGAATCACCAGAGCGCCCGTAAAAATGCAGACTCTCAGCAACAAGGGTGACAATTCCGCAGGCTGGGTCGCGTTCCCAATTCCAGAAGCCGCGTTTGAACTGAGGCCCAAAGGCCAGAGTTGGAAACACCGTGCAGCAGTAGAGGACGCTCGGCACGTGCCAAGCCCAAGCCCAAGCCCAAGCAGATCCCTCTAAAAGTGTGCATTATCTAACCCCCTTCACCGCGGAGGGCTTTGGCGATAGGAGTGCGGAGCCCAAGTACTCGCTTTCTCCACTTCACGGATCTGCAAACACTGGGCCATCCCTAGCTCTCAGCTTCCTTTCCCTCCCACAAATTTGTATGGTTCCCGACAGGAAGAAAGGCAGAATGAAAGAGGCAAACAGTGCGCAAACCCTCTAAGAAAAGGACGGAGGGAAAATGCACAACGTCCCGCCGTCCAGGCGGGACATCCCCTCCAAGAGACAGCCTCGTGGCCTTTGCGTTTGCTCCGGAGGCCAAGAGTTGGCGACTTTTAGGCGCTTGGCGTTGCAGACGTGGAGGCCAGGCGTGGGGGAGCGGGGAGTGGGGG